GTGGGGTTGACATATCTCTTCTAATATTTCTGGCCTCTTACTCTGATAGAGAAACACCTCCACCAGGCGGAAAGTAGAGCTGCNGCCGATGTAAGAAAACGGTGTCGATTCCAGCAGACACTGCAGACACTTCCAAAATTTCGGCATCGCTTCTCGTGAAATTCATTGAATATTTTATCCTCAATATTCCTGTCAACCGGCAGACAACCTTTGCCGATCTTCATAAAGTTAGGTAATTCAGTTGGACATGTTCTACTGGAAGCTATTTTCGTATAAGATGATTGTCCTCGATCAACAGCTCTGTATCCCATGCGGAGTTATTGAACTAGACGAAATGATCTCCATCAAGAGAAAATATGGCTAATGAACGGCGAACCATTCCAAAGGATTCATCACGCAAGGACGAACTTAGATACGAAGATTATTGGAGCCGACTAAAGAAGTGGTTGAGGATAGTCTTATCAATACAGTCAATCTCTTGCTATGTCGCAACCCTCAGGAATTCGAACAAGTGGGTAAATTCTCAGAACTGTGACATAGCAGGGTAAACAGTAGCAGATGCTAATAAGCAGTATAAAAGTCGGTTGATAGTTTTGTGACAAAATAAACCGGATCGATGGAAAGTAAGTTAATCCCGTCAGTTCTTCCCAATATTTATAATTATTTATAGCGGACTTTAGATTTACCGTCCTGCGTTTTTTGAATGTATCGACGAAATTCAAATCAACTTAATATCGGTACATTGCCTGCGGTATTCAGCCCTTTTCAGTTCTGTGTCTAGTTATCCCGAAACTACCTACCTTTCTTTAGCGTAAATTTTTTCTGACCCAATTATTCCATATTAAATCCAGATATTCCTCCATTCCGTTGAAACGTTAGGCTAACCATATAATTGATTATATGATGTCCACCACTGTTAAATTCAAATGACTATCCAGGCCAACGTTGAGTGACGCGCAACCTCAGAAGCCAAGTCCAAGTTTTCTAGAGGTTTATTCGATTCCAACAATAGCGAATAAGTATGCGGTATTGTAAATATTAAGCGTCACAATTACATAAACAACACACCTCAAATCGTGGCGTTCCCAGGGGGTATGCCTGAACCGGCGAAATAAACAATGCCAATCGAGAACCAAGATGCAAACGAGGGAGTTCACCACTCCGTCAAACGAACAGGCGATAAGTGAAATAACGTCAAAGCGCACATGGGACAGGGCGACACACGGGTAAGACTGAGGACCAATCCGGATAAGATTAGGCAACTCCATACGGTAGTAATAGGGTAGGGTGAGTCAGACCATATGAAGGTCAAGGACAGCGGTCACGAGAATGAGAGGGGGAATCAAGTGTGGTAGGCGAATGAAGAGATGGAATGGACGAAAGCGGCATGTCCGATGATCGATAATACGTACGGGTTAGACAATGACACTGGAGGGAGAGCTGACTAGACAGACTGTTGGGGTGGAACGTGTGGAGGGCGGCAAACAGATTCAACAACCATAATATACAGCCATTTTAGCTATACTAATCACATCATTACTAACCTATTCAAGGAAAATAAAGGTGAACCAGTTCGAATACAATGAGAAGGAAGTAACATCTAAAATGAATGAAATGTCTGTTATGGGTTATACTCAGAACATTGACTTCCTTCCCATATTCAAACTGATTGTTCGTTGTGCAATCTATTCATGATTTTCTAGTGAAAAATGTGTATCATTAGCGTCTGTAGACATCTGTTCGCTCGTTCGCTTCTGTTGTTACCAGTGTATGTGCAAACCGATTGATGTATTCATCATGACCGTTGTTGGTCGGACCAAGTTCAACTAGTGATGCCTTAACGGGATTAAAAAAAATACCTTTTCAATTTAAGATGTCCGAGTATCAAGTTAGTGTCATGTTGCTATGTGGATAGTACGATAGTCCGATTACTCCATCGTTTCACATTGTTTTGTACTTCTTGTGATGGTCTTGTTGTCATGTGCGGTCCATCCGCGTGGTGAAGGCACTCCTGCTTTACAGCCGAAGTTCACTGGGTCTGCTAAATACTCGCGGTTGTAGACGAGGTGTGATTTTTCGCTCGGGTTAGCTGGGCAAGCGCCAGGTCTCTTGTTCCGGTGACCTATCCGACCGATCGATTAACGAACCCGATCGGTCGTGTGATTTTCGGGCCAGCATAGGAGAAGATAATTTCTGAATGCTGCTTATGTTGGTAGAGAATAACCACAGGAGAATTTGTTGTGGAACGATGCGCCATGTGGGAGATTCGGAATGAAAAAGTTCAAGCTGATGACATTGGGCCAACGTTTGACTCGTCTAAGATACATGCACTATTTTTTAAGCTGGTTCTCGCGCAAATTTTCCGGTAGGTGTGAGACGGGAGTTTACTTGAAAGAAATTCACTCCTGTTCAGCCAACTGAAGGCCATTGACGCCAGCCTACAGGAATTACGGCAACTCTCAAGGGGTTAACGATTCATAAACTAAAAGTGCATTTCACAAACTGTCCTTAAACGCGGGTTACAATGACCTTTGGCAAGTGACCTGTCTAAGTTCATGGGTGCTTTAGGATGAGTGAGAGTATATTTCATACATTCACACAGGCGGGTCCGCGTGACGGTGTTTATCGATCGCTCGGATCTGACATCTCACTCCACTCACCCGCTTACCAGTCAATCGCGGATATCGTTCACCCGTTTGCACGTCAGTGCTACAGACCGAATGGCCGTGGCTTTGGTGACCACTGTAGCAAAAATGACCACATTCGAGTACCTCCTAATTCAGTTCAGTGCCCCCAGAATTGCAAATAAACTTTGCAGATTACAAAGATGTATTTTTTAGCAAAATCATAAATCGTCGTTTGTCTCTCCTTTGGAAATCAACAAGGCGTAACACATTGATTTTACCAACAAATTCAAATCACGTCGCCCGACCATTTGACAATGGGTTTATCTCACTGGTGGCCAACGATTAATACAGCATGCGGTGAAAGCTGATCTACTGAGCTAGTTTTCTAATGAACTTCGTTTCACCTGTCAAAAGAAGTAAATATTCATCCCGCCTTACGAGTTAAAACGGAAGTAAATACTGAGTGCCTAGTTATTGGCATCATGTACACACAAATATGGATATCGCAAAATGTTTTGCACTGATAAGGGGTGTTTTCGGTAACTACTACTCTTTAAATGCATTCGCGAAAGTCATTTTTCACAGCAGAAGGTTGGTATATCCTCTCTCTTGGGGTTGGTAGTGGAAAGCGATTAAACCTAATTAAATATTATTTTTTTACATTTATGCAGTCTTTGGAGGGGTTAAGTTCAATGTCAAATTCATTCAAATACCGCCCAGCAGCTGGGATTTTAATTTAATCGAAAACTTTTCACTGTATCAGAAACAGAGTTAAGTCAGTTGCCACGACAGTGGTCGTCAATGGTTAGGGTGCGGGGTGTATTAGAGGGAACTGTTTGTCAGCCAACTTGGTGGACTCCATACTGAAGCGACTCCCTCCAGTGCTCAAAAATGAAGAAGGGCGAATGGAACATGCACTAGATGAAAGTACAATACCTGTATGAAGTCTATGAGTCATTTTAGTGAATAAAGCCTAGATAAGTTTTCTACGGTAACTGTTATTTTACAACTGATGCACCAGCAACCATCATGCATTTTAATGGCATGCGGCTAATAGAAGCAGGACATAATTGGGTATTATGATAGACACGGTGCGTCTGATGTGCGGCAATAGCATATTCAATCCCGTGGATGAGCCTGAAAAAACGAAGCATTAAGAGGAACAAATGTGATGAAAATCAGGATGTTGCACGAGTTTGGTCCATACCTGCATATATATAAGTCACGCCCCTGAAATCAGATTCTGTGTAAAACAAATCACAGTACCATGAACTTTATAACAAAGTAAAAGGTTCATTATTTGATAGTGGACGGAATACTGCTAGGCTTCGCAGATCCTGGGTTAGCCCCACAAAGCAGCGGAGCAGTGTGTTAAAACTGCGTTCCGTTGGAGATCGATGTCCATTTCGTCGGATTATCTGCCTTTAACAGGGGAGAAATTCCATGTTTCTCATTATACCTCGATCCTCCATAAAGGTGATGGCCACTATCATTATCAGGAAGGCGTGTGGCTTGTAGCTCTCTTCGTGATTAGTTCGAACTCAGAAGTTTTAGTCATATCTCTTAGGTGAACTGCCAGTGACTCATCGACCCCGGTATAACCCTGAATGTTGAATTTTAGTCTACGGGAACTCATAGACTCGAGGTTTGTGTACTTTTAGTCTGGTGTGTCTTAAGTCGTAGGAGTTCATAGGTTTCCCCTAATTCGGCTTTTTGATTGTCACTACTGTGATGAACAATAAACGGCACTATGAAGCTGTTTCTTCTTTGTTGAGACTCACCAGAAAAAGCGGCTTTAACAAAAGAAATGCTCACTTCGGATGCGTTCAAACAGCTATCTAAGTGCTTGTTGTCAGCCTTCACACTAAATAATGAAGCTTTTTACATAGAGTACGGAAAAATTTCAACGATGTACAAAGATGACTGTGATATTATAATAGTCTTGTCCAGTCATTCATGAAACCAGAAGGCGATCGGCTCTGATACCAAGTTGGTTGAGTTAGGTTAGATATGCCAAATTCACAATAGTAATAATGGAATCACCATCAAGATCTCACAAAGTTGGCTTTTCTCGAATTATTTTCAAGCAGGGTCAATGAATATGTTATGAATTTATAATGACCGGAGAGCAGCACCAGACACACACTTGATAGGCGGCAAGAACGGAGAGAACTGTCTTGGGTTGTAGGAAATTTCGACCAGTCATTTCTGAGGTTCAATAGGGTAATATATCTCAATTCATTTTGCATGGTGTTTATTGTGGTTCAAAATAGCCCCCCTTTACCTTGCAACGCGCCACAATTCACACAAAACCCCACTTCATCTTGTGTGTCTGTTTTCTGATTTCACTTTGGTGTGCGCGTCACCACAGAACTCAAACTCAAATATGAGGACGCCAAACGTAACAGTCAGTCATCTGACGAAAAGTTCACTCAACTTTCGGCCGATATGAATCAGCTACGGGGCACATTGCAGGAGAAAGATTCCCTCATCATTGATTTGAATAAGAATTTGAAGAAGCAGAACGAGGATATGAGTGAGCTTCGCGTGTCCCGACAAAATTTGGAGAAGGAAAAATCAAAACTGGAGAAGTTAATTGAAGAAGTGAAAAAGGAGTAAGTACAAACCCAAAAAGTTTTGCCTCCCTCTCTGGCAGTATGTGTGCCGAGAAAAAGCAGCGCATCTCATTCGTTATTGCTCATTGTTCAGAAATATTGTGTAATCAAAAAACCTGCTCCAGCGATTCAATGCTTAGCATTTCAGCCGATTTTGAAAATTCTGCCTGTAATAAGTAATTGCTAGTAAAGTAACCCGAGGTCACATAGTAATGAATGTTTGGATAAAAGCAAACTTTTCATTCAGTCGTTTCATTGCATATGCAACGTGTAATAAACGTATGCACAGCTTTATCACGCCATCCTTCTCGTTTTATTTCAGCCTGATGAGCAAAGATCAGGAGATCAAATCACTTCAACTTCGTGTCGACAGTGTTGCCGGCAAATCACTCACAGATCAACTTGCCAGTTCACAAGAAAGTGGACTGGGCACACCAGACAATTCATCGCATCGCGATGGGGGAACACTGAGTCGACGAAGTGCCGAAGTGGACCGACTGCGTCGTGAATTGTCCATGATGCGAAGAGAACGAGATGACCTTGTGGCCGAGGTCAAACAGTTGCGCACAAAACTGGAAAAACTGCGCAAAAAAGAGGACGGTCCGAAGAGAGTAAGTCAAACAGTACCTCTTATGTTCATGGATAAACAACTGTCATACTTCTATGTATACCGGTTTCATTTGACTGTAAAAATGACAGCATTTACATTTTCAATCAAATCCCTGATGCAGGTTTTTATTGCATTGGCATTTACAGGATCAACCCGAGGGACTTATTGGATTGCCTACTGGGAACGCCTATGCGAAAGCGATCGCAGCTCAACAAACTACTACAAAAATAAGTTTGCTTAATGAGCATATTTCGAATTTAAATCGTACAAATGTGGAACTGAAGTTACACAACGAATCATTGCATAACACGGTAATCGATTTGCAGCGGCGCTATCGAAGTCTGAAAGAGCAGTATGAAGGTGAACAAGAGGCCTGGCTGACTGAACGTGTGGTCTTGGAGTCGAAAGCTAAAGAGGTTTGTTTCAATCGCTCGTTTTATTTCATTTTCAATGTGCGAAGTCACATATCATGATTGAGTTCCCTTTTCACACGGTAAATGCATTATTTTGAATTTGGTTGAAGAGTAAACAGTCTTATTTCCATCGCATTTAAATGCATACAAACAGTGAGAACTAACGATCTCCCAGGGAGTGAAACCCACACTGAAGACCACCAAGAGTGCCTGGCGCCTCTGAACAATCGAATGGGCTAATCCAAGCTTGATACTCTAAAAAGTCTTAGTATCTGTAACGAGAATGGCAAGCAGTTCGCGCAACGGTTTCAAAAACGATCAATTGAAATGCAGCTTGAAGAGGAAGAATGTTGTGTAACATCCAGTTCATTTTATTTTGTGCCATCGCGCGTCAACTCCAGCTGCGAACCTGCACTCTTCCGTTTTTTTGCTCTGATCAAAACTTGAAAAACAGTGTTTGTCTTCTGTGTTCACCGACGGTTGACCTCGTAGTAAAACAAGGATATTTCGAGGCTCTTAAGGCAAAGGAAATGAGTTGGGTGAGCTTGATTCATCTCTTCTGTTTGCTGTCTACACGTGGTTCTATCTATATGACAAGCAATTCACAAAAATCCCTAAAACAAGAACAGTATGGCGACGAAAGAATATTAATTGAACCTTTTTTCCGTAGGAAGACAATTAGGTCAGTCCTGGCGATTGCGTTCTACCTCGATCAAATCAAATTTGACCATGGATTAACAGGACTGCATGGTCGNAATAGGGGAGATCATGGGGAGTGCCTCCTCCCCACCAAACATAGCGGGTGGGGTGGGGACTGACCAAATTGTTTGCGTCACTGAAGCGTTGGCTGGCCTTTGGGGGGATATTGAATTGAAAATCTTTCGGGAACAGGAAAGTGAGTTCGCAGTGATAACTTCTCGTAAGTATATATATATATATATATTCGGTCTGAATTCAGACCGTGCCAAATAAATCATGGTACAATAATCTTTATAAAAAGAGGCGCGTTCCATGATTTGCTGGTGGGTGGAATACTTCCAGGTTGTTCAGGCCAAAGCAGGTGAATTTTCTTGAGGAATCCACAACAGGAGCCTTCGGCTAGCCAAAGCCTGACCTACAAATCAGCGGGCGGTGTACGAAAACCGCAATCCGTTGGGGGGTCGGTGTTCAGTTCATCGGGTCATACTCCCTTTGGACGCGGTCAAACGCCCAAGCTGCCCAATAAATCCCGATACCCAATTGAGCCGATGGTCACTACCACGAGCAGGTATGTGCGTGGTTCGTACACCTCCTTTTGGTTCGTTTGGAATCAGGGATTTTGGCCGCCTCCCCTAGGTGAAATGCCAGTGGTTTGCCGACCCGGTTATAAGTGATGGGAGAGCGCTCAAACAAATTTGGCGGAAAAGTTAAAGAAGTGCTTTCTTAACAAGACGACTTTTGTTCTGCGCTGCATCCGTCATCCTTCGATGAAATACTGTTGAAGGTGTTCACAAATATCAGCATCGGCAATTTTCAATGTTTGATGAAAATGAACACAATATTCAACGCAGTCTACATTATCTCTGCCTCAAATGGACAGATTGTGTTCAAAAGTACTTCTTTATTCTGGTGGTCGATTCATTTAAAAGTGGTTCGATGAATCTATAAATTTTCTTTGCGATCACATCTTGATTTTATTGATTTTACTGGCTTCGAGTATTGTTAGCGCTTGGCAACGACATGTTTTCTCCATGAATGGCGTGTTGAAAACAGTCAGATTTGTAAACATGCCTTACTCGTGTAAAAATGAACATAACAGGATTATATTTCAAGTATTGGATTCGACTCTATTTTATCGGTCTGCAGCTGGTGAAAGCTTTTTAAGTCGAATATGTGCTGTGATCTCAGAAAGTACAAACACTACAGATTATTATGCGCGTTTGTTTACGTTTATGTTTACGACTTCAGACATAGACTGTAGCACATTCAAAATACAAGCTTATATGAACCAGAAATTGCTTTCCATCCTTCAGTTCCCTCTAACTGACCAAATACAAATTCTGTTTCGTTCCCTTCCCTTCGTAAACTATTCACAGCAAGAAGACCGCAAACTGACAATCAATAATACACGAAAGTTGTTACAGGAAACAACTGCAAAACTGTATGAAGTGGAAGCGAATGCGGATCAGAAGCTTCAACAACTTCAAATAGCCTACCAAAATTTGGAGAATGAAAAGCTCGACTTGGAGGTAAGCAAAACAAATGAAATTATCCATTTCTTTCTCACGTGACACCATTTTTGCATATCATAAACGGTGCGTAATTTCCTGCATCCCACCTTTGCTCCTCCCACCCCCACGGTCTCTTGCCCATTCTTTCTTACCTTTAGGGCAAATTGAATCAAATTGAAGAGCATCAAAAGCTGCCCAAAGTGCTTCAACGATTTGGTGGATCGGCGCATACTAGTCGTGCCGGTGTTCTGAGTCCCCAAACCCGTACCGCCAACGGTGAGGCGAAGGATTTAACGCGTCGTCTGGAGAGTGCCGAACGAACAGTCAGTAAATTGCGTTCTGAATTGAATGAAGCGAAATCAGCACGCCAAGCGGAACAGAACGCTGCCATTCAAGAAGCAGAACAGGCCAGACAAGCTGCGGAACAAGAGGCGGAGGACCTTCGGGATCGCTTGTTAACTGTAAGTAACTGAGTGTCGTGAACTGTAGCGATTGTGTACCTTCGCAATTCATTTGCAATCTTAGTCCACTGGAATTCTCCACTTTCTCTGCTAATTCACTTTCAATTTTCCCATTTTCCTTCTGCCCCTTCAACCAAATGGATAGCCAAAATTCGACAACCAAAACAACCAAACGAAAGTGCATGGTTATTGGTTGCACAAACTAGAAATGTAAGTGGATCAAGCGTCGAAATGAAGAACAAACAGTTACCGCAGATGACATCTTTTCGAATAGGATCTTTATGAAGTCAAAATCACGAATCGTCGCAAATTCGTGGGTATCAAGCTTCATTGTTTCAATTTAGAACGAGACTGGATCTGGGTAACTCGAATTGGCCGGATTCATCCCGCAGACAAGAATAAACGAAACCAACTGAATTTAGTACAAAATAATTTACAGACATCAGTGTCAGCAGATGGATCCTATGACTGATTTATTCGGCCCCAGTTTGAGCTCGTTGGCGCATTGGTAACAAACACAGACAAATATATGCCAAATTTGAAGTTTTCGGTTCAATCCCAACTGAGTAGGTGAATAAACACCATCGATGAACTCAATTGAAGGTGAAACTTGGATCCGGTGCTCCCCCTTACCTCCCCCCCCGCCAGTTTACGCTTGTCTGGATGAACTGAGGATTGTGCATGATGATGAGATCTGAATGAGTCTTCTTCGAAAATAACGGCCCTGACAGCATCTTTTGTACCTTAGAACATTGGGATTGGTTAAAGGCCATGATAAAAGTTTTCATTATTATTTGTACTCTTATTCATTCGGTATTTCCCAAATGTACATTCAAGAAGAGGACAATGGTCATTTGAATGATCTCAATCATTAGGCAAAGCAGCTGAGTAGCGGTGACAGTATCCGGATTAAAGAACTATGAACTAACGGGATGTACCACTCGGCAACAAACAACCGAACTCCAATGGACGGGTAATGGAAAGAGCATATTCGATTCTGTTTCAGCCAGACATGAACATATGATAAACAGATAAAAGTTTTGATGGCTTTTGCAGTTCGAGTAGATGAATGATTACTTAGAGGAGATAGTACATTTGGTGACACAATGCGCGGCAGGCGCTAGAAAGGATGTTATGATTACGGAAGCAGGTCACGGAAAAAATAAGATGTGTACACAAGTACGTCCTGCTTTTGTTACCAACACCTCTGAATGCAAGAACATTGACCGTACATTATAACCATGTAAAAGGCAAATCGGGAAAATGAAAAAAAACAATAAATTGCAGTTATGGCAGATACCTATGATCACAAAATAAATCTAATTGGCTTCCTACTTATGAGAACGAAACTGAGATGACTAACAATGAGACAACAAAAATCAGTTTCTTTATTACCCCCACAGTCTCAAAAGTTGTCACAAACCAAAATTACCGGTATTCTCATCCAAACTACGAGAAAAATAGGCGAAATTTCGGCCCTTCAAGAACAGAAAGAATATATGTTCTAAATGCACAGCTCATGAAAGACAAAATTTCACAAATCTTCCGTTCACAAAGCCACTATTATCTTTGAAATTGTCCACTTAAGCGTTCAAGAAACTATAATGTCAGCCGTTTACGTGAAAGCATTGATATAACAAAACGACCTATGCGCTCACTTTAAATCGGCGGAACCAACAAAATATCAAATGCCTGTCATCCTCGTCGTCGTTTAGACCATCGCAGTCATGATCAGTGGACTCAAGTGACTATTCTAAGCCGCTTATGATCTTCCATTGCAGTTTCCGACTCCCGGTATCAGTTCGCGTATCGGATGGATGCAGTTGCGTCTGCTTCCAATTTGACCGCTAAATCTACAGACAGTTCACTGAAATCTGTTCGATATTTTTCCCCGATCACTCTTCTGATTTTGACTCGAACACACCATCTCTACTTCATCAAACACTAGAATCTTTTCGTTGTCCCTCATCATTCAATGTATGACTGAAGACGTCTTCTTACCAAAATTTAACATTTTCAAAACGTTAGTGAATAACTTTGGTACTCTTCGGAGTTCTGTGTTGTATCCTTACTTTCCATCCCTGATTGAACGGTTTTTGCGCCGACTAAACTCCTTAGGTATGCTGTTCGCCTGTTAAACAATCTCAAACCAACACGATTACACTTCCCTTTCCTAATTGTTTTTTTATATGGATAACTACCAATCTCATTCTCACCTCTATTCTAATCCATCAGTGTTGTGTGTCGTTTCCTTCTCTCAAGATCCTACTACCCTAATGGCTCTCTAATAAGTAACTCTGCTCCCACATACGTAAAGTACCCGCGTGTCAAAATAGGTACCGTTTTACAGTGATCTTTCCAAATTCCGGATTATGGCAAAAAATATTCGACAGGTGTCCCACTGAAATTATATACCCAGCTAGTCGAAGCTAAGCAACCCATTATTCCCTCATCCAAAAACCACGGAATCCTATTCATCCTATTCAGTGTTTACTGAAATGTCAGTTTTGTTTGACTTTCTGACTGTACAAGATCTCATCTTAGCGGTTCGATGACCTTTTTATTTCGTCATCTTACCACATACCCCTGATCCCAGATGGAATGCTACCGACAACAATGTGAATTGTTCCGCCATCGGCATTTCGAGGTCGAAGAGAACGCAGAACGGGAATTCAAAGTGTGGCAAGAAGAACGGGAACACCTTTTGTATCGGGCGGAAGAAGCCAGAGCCATGATCGAACAGTGGTCAATGCAGCTCCAGTATCGTGTAAGTAATCTTTATTCATCTTCAGCCTGTGTGAGCCAAACGTAAAACTGAAACAATCGTATCATCACTTTTGATATACAGCTGGATTTAGACGTTAAGTAACACCCGAAAAAACCAACAGGGAACTAATGAACCTAGAATGCGGGAGAGATAAACCCCAGTAGCAATTGCGAGTACTCTGAACTCATTCAGTTATTGCACTAAAACACCACTTGTTATTTGGTACACAGTCGCATAAACAATGTTCAGGATTCGGTATTCCCAGTTAGCTTGTCTCAAAGAGCTGCAAATGTCCCATAACAACACAACATATGTAAGTGGACGTCAACTGCACAAATGAGATGCAGTCGAATTTGACCGTTTCTCTCTAGGCTGGGGTTGATTTCAAGATCATTTTCGAAATCTAACCACTCACCATCACCTGAATGTGTTATCCTCTTTCAGACCGATACGGACACGGAAAAGGCCGAGGATGTGGTCAAAGAAGTTCTCACACAAATGGAGAAGTGGTGTGCAAACCGAGGAAAAGTACCATGTTTGAAACGCCGGTAAGTGTTCCTTCCACTGGATTAGACTGTTCATATCTATAGTTTTGAATCAGTCTTCAGCTGGAATTTTAAGCAATATAACTACATCTTTTGTCATGCAGAATGATCCTTCTTATCAGGTGTAAGCAATCCGTGCGAATTTCAAAACACAGAAACTTGACATGAATGCCCACGGATTATTAGCCCAGGTTAATTCCCCTAATTGTGTTCATGTACATACGTTGACTGACTAAGATCGGTTGCCAATTGGAACATTACGTTTGGTTCGCGACTGGAGTTCATAATAGTTTTGATTGGTTGAGTGGAACATTCGGCTTGTCTCGGATTTAACCATTTGACATATACAAAGTTTAGCGGAATTAATTGAATAATTTGCAGACACCTATCTGCCGGTGAGCAAACCGAAGAGTAAGCACGTAGTCTGCAAACTGCAGACGACGTACTTACGGCATAACCTTTTAAGGCAGGCATATCAAGGTCAAGCGTCATTTGGTAGGTACTGCATGTCTATGCACTTGTATTAGCTGAAAAGCTTTTGCTTGAGCACGTCAGTTACGTCGATCGATCACCGAATGGCGGAAGCACATGCGTGCATGGATGTGTGCATGCAACTGTTCGAATCACAAAAGAACCTTCTCAGGCCGCTTACAGATTGTATCGAAAGTATCATAGCAGTATAGAAATCAGAATACGCAGTTAGACTGGGATAGCAACAATCATGGGGAACTAGATGTCAAATTCATCCAGCGCCATGGGCCATGGGGTTTCGGTTATTGATAAAGTGCGCAACTGCCTACTTTCTATTGAAATGACGCTCCGAGTTCTGAATTTCATCAGATTTTTTTTGTATGCACACTGCTAAAAACTTCAGTTCACAATTCTGTCTTCATATAGTGAAATTATATCATTTATTTCCTCATTATCTAAATTGTTTCCTAAATTTCACGGTGGGATTTCCGTTTTGTTTTGACTCATATTTTTGAGGATTTGACTAATTTCCACCTTTTTCTATCCTTCTTTCTTTCCTGTTTCCGTACCCCCCAAATCCGATTTTTGGTTCTTTATTATACATTTTTTCGTTCTTGTTGTCTCATCCCATGGTGATATTGCCCGTTGTTAAACGCAACTCCTCATCCATGTGTGTTTGTGCTAACCCACTGTGCGAAATCATTATCAATTTTTAGGAACAGTGATGGTTCCTTAGGGTGCGTACAAATTTCGCATTGTTGTCTCCTTCCTAGTGGAATGGTCTACATGCTCGATCTCAACTCCACCACCATTACCACCACCGCCACTTCCCGTACATCTTCAGTGTGCCTTCATCCAGAACTCCACTCACTTTCCATCCTCACTAGCCCCTTTTGCTCCCCAAATTGTCCTCTTTGTTGCTCACCTGCATTCACCCATCCATTCGTACCTAATGCAGACACCGCCAATATCGATGTTCCCGTTCTTATTCACTCCTCATTAAACGGTCTGTTCATCTTTAGTTTGTGCAGTNCATTTACTTCACCAATTTGTGAAAACAGGCCCTATGATTTGTATAAACATTTTTGGTAGAATTGGTTTTAATACATTACCGTAAGCACAAATATTTCTTCGATTATGTCCAGAATGATTGCCACGCATAAAAGAAACACATAAATTGGCGGAAACTAACGTGGTCGACCCAACCCATAAATTATATGCAACTAACAGTTTCGGTCACTAACTAGGATAACTATACCTTTTTCAGTTTAAGATGTCCGAAATCCAATTTAAGATGTCACGATATGAATTTAAGATGTCCGAGTATCAATTNGTGGCTATGTTTTCACTCTGTACTGTGCAAGGTACTATCCACATAGCAACATGACATCTTAACTTGATACACGGACATCTTAAATTCGTATTGTGACACCTTAAATTGAATTTCGGACATCTTAAACTGAAAAAGGTATAAATAGTTGTCTCCTTTCTTCTTGCTAGAGTTAATGTATATACAATTCATCTTGTGTATTTAAATTACATGATCAAGTTCAGCAGACATGTGTGAAATATGGATATATATATATATACTGTTAAAATCCAGCTAGTGCACAATAGCAGCAGTTTATTGGATGTTTTGGCTCATCTGTGCGCATCCATCACCGGACTTGTGCATGAGTATGCGCTCCATGCATCCGCGTACCCCGTTGCCTTTTAATTTGTTTTTTTTTTAATCGTCCCCTCTCTCTCGTCCCTTGGATCATCTGTTTACTTCCTACCCCCATCTCTACTCTCTACTCCGATGTCCATTCTGATGACTAGTCCGACACTCGGAAATGCCCATATAGTATTTTGTTCTCAAATACCTGTTGCATACTGACTTTTTTCGGATCACTTTAGCATGGTCGATTCACTCTACTCGTTCGATGGTGGTTCTTCGGTCACCGGTCTGGGCAGCATCCCGGCCAGTCCAGCTGCCAGTGTGACCCGCGGTGGCCTCATGGGTTCGTCGACTACGTCACCGTTTCCACCCAGTCGAAGTCAGGCGCAACGTTCCACTTCCATGGAGTGGGGTAACGGAAGATCTGTTCTGGCATCTGGCACGTCTCTCGGGGGACACTACAGAGAGGGAAGTGTGGGGCTTGGTGGTTCAACATTTGGTGGCGCATTACGTGGCAGTGCGTTGAGTTTAGCTATGGGCAATAACGTTGGAGGAGGTAGTAATTACAGTCTGATTATGGCCAATCGCTGTGGTCGATCCGTTTCGCCAGAAGTTTCAGTTCGGAAGGTGGGTTCTATTTTCTATTTTTTCTGTGCTTTCACTATCATTCAGTTTCAGTTTGAAAAACCATTAACCATGATTCACTATTAATTACATGTGTAGCTACCCACCAAATAATCTTGGACAGTTAATCTGAATGGCGTTGGTCTAAACAGTTACAGCTCAGTGATTTGTAGAAATCCTGGGCTCAGTACGTACAGGACCCGCGCAACGCAGTCCCAATATCAGCTAACAATTAATATCTATGTAATATGCGTTTGCTCCTGTGTGCGACAGGATGTCCCCTATGGGCACATACACCAGACAACCTAACGCGGACCGAGTTTCAGTGTGGGCTGGAATCGTCGACAGACTGGTTCTCCATTGAGAGGGTTAACTGATAATTTACAAGAGGGGAAAATACAGACACCATGAACCACAAGGTAGAGTTAGACAACGAGAATGGCAAGTTGCCAAGGTCGTTAGAAATTTGACTGAAAATTTGAACCAGCGGAGTAAGATTGTCTTCCCGGGATGTTTAATTTCTTTTTACCCGTGTTCCTTGGGTCTATCCGTTTAAATGTCTGTAGCGCAACCTAAGTAGATAGTACCGTTCGGCGTTTGCTCGAACCTATTGAAGAACATAATCTGAAATGGAACAATGGGTATCATACCCAGTTGTGTCCTTGATCATTTGGTTGATAATGGTCCAAGTTTCGACCGGGATACTGCGTCCATTATTGTATATCGGGTATTCTCAATCGATCCGAGGCTGTCGGAGTGTGAAATTTACCAACAGCAAAAGATATTTTTATCAGAATAATACAGTCCCCATTTTTATGCAGAAACATGGCCAGTTACTGGTCTTGCGCGAACCAGTGTGAATGGAACAGAAGATCAAGTGGGGCCGTACAGCATTACATCAATGGTATGAAGTTAGTTACTCCCCCTCTTGTAGATGCTCCCCCAACCAAAATTAACCAATGTCCCAAACATCTGCAAGGTTTTGTACAGTATACGATCGGCACACGCATAATTATGAATCTTTGAAAACACTCGTTTGCTCTTAACGTTTACAAATATGAAATGGGTGCATCTAAACTACTTCTGAGAAAGTGGCCTGATATGTGGAAGCGCGTGAAATAAATCGTCTTTTCACAAAGTCTGTATATTATCACGTTTATTTTGAACAGCCCTTTATCACAAACCATCTTGATTTGTTTTGTTCAAACATTTCAGTTGTCTAATTACCCTGATCCAACTCC